ATGTTAAAAATATGCAAAATATATGCAAAAAATATGCAAAATATGAAAAAAATATGCAAAATATGCAAAAAATATGCACGGTATGCTAGGTCGATATGCAATAAATATGCAAAATATATACATAAAATATGCAAAAGATGCAAAAATATACAAAATATGGAAAAATATGCAAAAATATGCAAGATATATGCAAAATATACAAAAATGTGCAAAAATGCAAAAATATGTAAATATATGCAAAAATAAACAAAATATGCAAAATATATAAAAATATACAAAATATGCCAAAATATGCAAAAAATAAGCAAAATATGCAAAAATAAGCAAAATATGCAAAAATATACACAATATGCAAAATATAGGCACAAATATGCAAAATATACATTATATGCAAATATGCAAAACATTAAAAAATATGAACCCTTCAAATAATTCTAAATCCTTTGAAACGAATTTGTGTCCAATCAGAATTTCGATATCTTCATTATTAAAAAATATGCAAAATCCGAGGTTTAGTAATTACTCAACATGTGTGTTGTGTGTTGTTCGATCGTATCCTGGAGATTTAATAATTCCAACGCTTCTCCTCAACACACATTTTTTTATTTATATCTATCCTTTCTTTATTTATATCTTACATAAATTGTAAACACTTAATAAAACCAAAAATAATACACACGCTATTTAACTACTAATTGTAAGACTAATCATTCATGCTCCTTCTGCATGCTGTCCCCCTCACAAGGGATCGACAATGGTTGACCTAACTGGGGCCAAATCACCGCAGTCGAAATCGAGTACTTCGGCATCGGATCACCGCAGTCGTTATAGAATTGTTTCTACTCGAAGTTGTATACGATAGGTAGTATGCTATCGGAAACTACATACTTAGGGATTTTTGGGCGGAAAAAGGTAAACAAACAGGAACAAGAAGTTGGTAAAAATAGTGAATGCAAAGCAGAAAGAGGCTCAATTTATGTTGAAGCATCCAGACTTAGCCAAAAGTAAGTTGCAAAACTGTGCTCAAGCAAAATAAAAAAAACTAAACTTGTGGCGCGAATTGACAACAAAACTAAATTCCATATTAATGCTACATTGTACTCATCCTCTAAATACGAAGACGAGGAAATAAAAAAAAAACTTTTGATTCATATAATATTTGTACACATATTTTTTTTAAATTTCTATGAAATAACATTGCTACATTGTACTCATCCTCTGAATACGAAGACGAGGAAATCAAAAAAAAAAAACTTTTGGATTCATATAATATTTGTACACATATATTTTTAAATTTCTAAGAAATAACATATCTTGATCACAAAAACTTATTTTGACATTCACTTTCAATTTCTTACTAACATATGCTTACAGCAATGTAAAACCAGTAAGGAAAGTAATAAGTTCGGACGGGGCCGATACTATATTTTTCATTTGGTCAGAAATAAAAGCTATTTCTAAATCTGAACCGATTTTCAAGAAACTTAACATACATCATGCTAGACCTAATTCATCGCGCTGTGCCAAATTTCGTGCAAATCGAAAGATAATAAGGGACTTTGGTGCACCATTTACATTAAATCAGACGAATATATATATGGTAGCTATATCTAAATCTGAACCGATTTTCACGAAACATAACACACTTCATTGTAGACCTAATTCATTACGCTGTGCCAAAATTTCGTGCAAATCAAAAGATATATAGGGACTTTGGTGCATCATTTACCTTAAATCGGACGAAAATATATATGGGAGCTATATCTTAATCTGAACCGATTTTCAGGAAACTTAACACACTTAATTGTAGATCTAATTCATTACGTTGTGCCCAATTTCGTGCAAACCGAAAGATATTAAGGGACATTGGTACACCATTTACCTGAAATCGGACGAAAATATAAATTGGAGCTATATCTATCTATCTATCTTGTGTTGTTGTCATTCCTATTTATGACTCTGTACGTACGCTTGCTCGTTTCCTTTTTTCGCTGCCTTATATTGCGCTGCGTAACGGCCTCTGTCGTTGTCGTAGCTCCTAAAATTCCGTGTGCGCGTTCTATTTTTGTCTGCACCCCTTTTGCAGCTACCTGCGTTGTTGTTGCTAAATCTTTGTTCTTGCGTATTGGACACTGTACCATTTTTGTTTTTGCTATCTCGTCTGCGTTGCGCCATAAATGCCTGATCGGAACAACAGCCTTTTAAATTTCCTAATAACTTTCGCCGTTCGTTCTCCTCTGACAATTTCACCTTAGGTAAATCGTTCCGCGATTCCAATGCAACCACTAAGTTCTCAAAACTTTTCGGCAAATTAGGATCAAGATTACTAAGATCTCGTCACCCAACTCAATAACTGATTGAGCCAACTTATCTACGACTGACGTATCTGACTTATCTACGACTTGGATTCCATCGCCTTCCTCCATTTTCATATTGAGCAGCCTCTTAAGCAGTGACACCTTCCGAGCAGCGAAAAGGAGGCGATGGGAACATAAAGGAAAACCAACATTAAGGAGGCCTTCATCTATTCTATAGAAGCCATTCGCTTCATCCATAAGAATATTATCACTTACATACAAAGACATTCAGCACTGCGGTTTAAATTTACTTTACAAGCGCCTAAACAAAGGAAGTTTGTCTTCTTATGATCAAGTTGTACCATATTTTTAACGTTTAAGTATGCCAAACAGCCAAATTAACGTGTCCAAAATGAATGATTGCGAACCTATAGTGAAAACCTAAACAAAGGAAGTTTGTCTTCTTATGATCAAGTTGTACCATATTTTTAACGTATGTTTCTTTAAGTATACCAAACAGCCAAATTAACGTGTCCAAAATGAATGATTGCGAACCTATAATGAAAGCTGGTGGTGAAGTAATGACTTTTGATCGACTGGCTTGTTGCAATGCAAACGCACTGCTCGCATTATTTGCATCGATTTCGGAAAAACAGATGGCGAACTTTACACACGCCCCAATGTTCGCTCAAAGGAATTTAAATTCAAACTTCGTCATTCTAACTATTGTTATTCCAAAAAATGTATACAAAATAAAATAAAAATATTAAATATTCATTTTAAGAAGACTTTCAGCTTTTCCTGAAGATGCATTCAGATCTTTATCCCGTTCAAACTCTTTCAACTCTTCTATAAGAATATCTCAAGCTCTACTGTAATAATATAACCTTCTCTTATATATGAATACCTCCAGATAGAACACTAACCCTCTTATATAAGAGGGAACCCGGAACACTACAAATTGTAGTGTTTCACTGGCCGGAACACTAAAAATAGTAGTGTTCCATTTGGCGGAACACTAAAAATCGTAGTATTCCATTTAGAGGAACACTAAAAATCGTAGTGTTCCGGCAGTGGTCCACCAAAAATCTTAGTGTTCCACTGGTCGGAACAATACAAATCGCAGCGTTCCACTTACTTGAACTGCAGTCGGTACACTACGATTTTTAGTGTACCACTTCCGGTACACTTACTTGAACTGCAGTCGGTACACTACGATTTTTAGTGTACCACTACCGTTAAACTACCATTTTTAGTGTACCGCTGTCTGTACACTACGATTTTTTAGTGTACCGCGGCAGGTACGCTAAGATTTTCGTTGTGCTCCGGAACAGTAACGCTAAAAATATTTTTAGTGTTTGTGTACCGGTACAGTATGTTATTTATTTATTTTTCGAACGTTGCTCAGGACCTTTTTCCCGATATATGTCCAAAAAAAAATTACAATAGAGTATTAAAAAATTCGCAATATTGTTAGAAATTTGATGTACAACAATTGGCAACATTTTTCGGAAAATATACAGTGGCATGTAGAAGCGAGTGAATGTTTGTACTTTGAAAATTTTTGCGTCATTAAAACAGTAAAAAAGCAAATTTAAAATTTGTTGTCGTACTTTATTAAGTACTTTGTACTTAGCAAAACACATCAAAATTAAAAAAATAACTCATCAATTTCTAAGAAACAAATTAACAAATTCGGATTGATGGCGGACTTTGTGCTGGCCACTGCGTTAATTAAAAATTTTGTTCATCAATATATTCTCTCACGATTTCGGACGTGTGCTTTGTATCACCATTCTCCTCAGAATTACTTCTTCTACAGGGTAAGTGTTCTTATCTACCGAAACCGGTTGATATGACTCTTAAAACCTCTCAGTAGACTTCTTTTATTATAATAAATTCAAATTTGTTTGCATCGGTCCAAGGTCCTAACATTAAAAGCCATCCCTTACCATGACGAATCCTCAATCCATTGCTTCTCATTTCTCAATTGAATTGGTTTTCATCAGCGATAATGAAAAGGGCTGAATTTGGATTCGGAAGAACTCTTCATCCAATGTCGCAAAGTGATAAATATACATTTAGTGCTTATTGGCTATTTTGTTAAAAGTTTTGTATATTTTTTTTTTTAATTCTAGATACTTAACAAATAACAATGAACATTTTAATGGGGTTTTTTACAATTATTTTTATGACGTAAATGCTGTCTGTTGAAAAATTTTGCACATTTCTGCAGATGTGCTTACTGAAGTCAACAATGAATATGTTGCCAATACTTTTAATTTTATACTGTCCTTACTGGGTGACCTAATATGTAGACCTTGATATATAGCTTGTTTTGAGACTCATCGTGAAATATTGCCTCCCGACGAAAACTTTCAAAATGCCGATACACGTGTCTTATATTTGGAATTTCCCGATAATTATTTTTGTGCTTTGAATGAATGAAAATAGGAGAGGAAAACCACAACTTCCCCCGCTGATAGGTCATCCGTACACTAAGGTCTCCGCAGCTGTAGATTCTGTAGCTGATTTTTTATTCCATCTCAATGATATTTTAGAATGTTTTCCTTGTTTCTTTATTTTGTTATTGGTAGCTTCGATTTATCTAATAATATTCATTAGAAGTGTTTGTCGACATGATTTGTTACAATCACATCAAAATTTCTAGTTTATTTATACACAAATTTTGTTTAATTTCAGATGCTATAATTAAATCGGATCCAAGAAGAGATATTTCAACCTTAGACGAGGATTTGGTTTCTGATTCAGAACTTCATGATAGCACTCAAAAACTAAATCTACCAAACGGTAGTAATTCAAGACTGAGTCCAGTTTACTACAGTGAGAACGAAGACTATACATCAAATCCAGGTGAGTATTGTTTTTTACATACAATTATTTATATGCCTGTCATCTGAATATTTTGCAAATTTTTATTATGGGAAAACAAATTAATAAGATACATTTAGCTATACATATGCTAACTTATCTATCACTTAAACTGTACACCTGTACTATCAACGATAAGTCGTTTTTAATTGTGAATTGTCAGGTACGCTCGAACACACTTGCTCTCAATTTAGTTTTGCCCAACACTGATGTAGAGTAAGTTCGGGCAATGTGGTAAACCTAGAGAACAATAATTGAAAGGCGCTAGTTTTCGTTGTGAATTGAAAAAGATTTTAAATTAACTTGAAAAATACATTTACTAACCATTAAGAAAAGGTGTAGATAATGTGGTGTGGTATGGTAGGCTAATGGGGTATGCTATATAATTTTATGTGAATTTTTGTCAAAGTTTATTAAATCATTGTTTTGGTTAGGGGGTTTACCTCTTTTGCATTTTATTCCAAATTAAAAACTTTGTTTTTTATTTTTAGGCAATTAATTAATGTATTTTAAAATAGTTAAATTTAGTTGTAATATACTTTGTTTAGGTTAGGTAGATTTGAGTTCCAATAGTTTTTAGGTGATGCAAATTTATTGCAATATTTCTGTATTTGTAGTGAAATATTTAGGTTTAGGTTGTGTACGCATATATATCCAATTTTATAGTAGGGCCAGTGCAATACTTGGGTTTTCAAGAATGAGGTCTGAATAAACTCGTCTTGGCAGCTCGTCAGTAATAAGGGCGTTGGCTTTTAATGCCCAAGTGGAATTATTACGCCGTGTCATAATTTTAAATTTGGTGAATCTGCGTCCTTGATACATAAAGGACCTGAGTCCTATTCTTTGAAATGTTGTATATTCAAGTCGAGATGTAACAGTCGACTAAATGTTCTCTTGCGGTGTAAAAGGTGTCAATCTCGTTTGTTTTGATTAGGGTCAAGGCAGTGGGCACAAAAACCAAATCTCATGTAAATGTTGGCTTAAGGAGGAGAGGCATCACACATAGTCACATCTTTACGATACATGGCAATCGGATGGGGCATGTGACCTCTTGCTAAACAGTTTCGACAATATCCTCGTCGATCGACTGTCTCATAGCGCAGGTATGGCGTTTGGTCTCTAAAGCGCTAACAGTTGCTTAGGGAGTGGTCTTGTTGGCAAAACCCACACGAAAACTGCCAAGAACTCGGTCTTGGGCGAACATCAGAATGACTGCGGTGACGTTTATCGGGGCTGGTTTAAGGTCGACTGGTCGGTTCGGGCTGAGTTCAAAGCTCCATCTTGATTGGGTAGGTAAGCTGCCATGTCTGAAAATAATTGAGAGGAGTAACGTATCTTTTTTAAAGAAATGTCCGACAAGTCAGTCGGTAATCTTTTTGACAACCGTTGTAATGGGTCGACTTAATGTTCCAATTGAAGTTTCAATGTCAACAACTCGTATGTTTTGATCAATCCCCTTATATGTTCGCAAAATCCTTCCCACAAGGTCCCCTCCTTTACATTATGATTCTGATATTTCCATTTATTTCTTCAATGTAATTCATTCAGGTATTCCGTTTTCCATCTATGACAGAAATATTTCTAAATAATTTTTCTATCTTTTAACAAATTCCATCTAATAAAAAATGAAATATCTGTGTCGGACAAATTTGGTCCTGGTGGAGCTAACATGGGTGACCCGATTAAGAAATGCGCGGGTGTTAATGGAGCTAAATTATTTGCGTCGTCATTGGGAGACTCAAGGGTCTTAAATTCAATGATTCAATTCGAATTTAAATTGTGTTAAGTTCCTCAAATGTGAAGTTTATTTTTGGAATACATTTTCGCAAATGCGCGCCAGTGGTGGATAGTCTATCGACTAATATTTTCAACTTATATGTCCAAATTCAGTAAGTAACATTCGTGTAATGAGTTGATTTCCTCCATGTAAGGTGATTTAATGTGTAAATTCTACGATTAGTTGCGATAATTTCGATGAGTATGGCAACAATATGGGGTGGCGTTCATTGTATGTTAAGGCTGGTGATTGGACATGTCGACCATTTGCTCTGATAATACACTTTGAGTCTATAAAGGGGTTTAGTGTCAATAGAGTACTGCTAGGCGGAATATTTTTTTCCTTCTAATAGATTGTATTCGTTTACAAAATGAGGCGTTCGCAGAGTAAACTCTGAAATGATTTTATTGTTCCCCGTATTTCTGCAAAAACATAAGATGTATACATATGCTCTAAATGCGCGTGATAGGGATGAATAATATTTTTTGATATGGCCTGCTAGTTTTTGGAAGTTTTGGCCAATTTGGACCATGCCGCCATAATGAATGTGATTTTAAATCCAGCGGTGAACATCCTTTACTTGCAATGCCTGCTAAGTTGGATTCAGAATCGACGTGTTTCCATTTATCATTACCAACGTTGTGAATTACTTCCGAAACTCGTTTTCCTACAAATGTACCCCATATGCAGGGCAGTTTTTTAGAGTCTGTCCAATAATGCGATCAATATTTGAAATATGAATATGTTTTGTTATAGAAGCAGCTAGTTTCGCTAGGAGTACAGCTCCACACAACTCAAGGCGTGGCAGTGAAATCTTTTTAATGGGCGCCACACTGGTTTTGGCAGTCAAAGAAATGTGTCAACAGTATTATCGACATTTTCTACTCGGAGGTATAAGACGGCTCCATAAGCACTTTCTGGCGTTTCGCCCAAGCTATCGTCCCAAGCTATTTTATCGGACCATATTTGTTGCATTATTATTTTTGCTACGTTATTTGATATTTGGTGCCAACCACCAACAAGGGCTAAAAAACTTTGCTATGGTAGATAAGATTTCTCTTTTCGAATAATTGGTTTTGTTTTCAATTGAAGGCGGTGTGAATGAGGTACAAACTCCTGAGATAATCCATTATATACCAAGGGTCTTGGTGGAAGCATTTTCAGATAAATTCAACCAATTAGGGGAGACTGGGGTAATTTTTGTTTAGAGCTCTATATTTCAGTACTTATTCAACAGATATAAAATCTTTATGGCTGTTTATTGTCCTCAGATATAAAAACTGGTACCAAAAATATATAATAAACTAGTATTAGTTAAAATGTTCTAAAGTTTTGTAATTATTACCGCTATCAGTCTGGTTGAAATTCAGGTCCTCTAAATGTTCCATTTAGTTTTAATACGCGACCCAAAGTTTGACTTTTAATGCTATATTTTCTAGCAATAGACATTTACATCTCAAGGCCATACACACTATCAGAAATAGAAGAATGCACATTGTAATTAACTACTTACTGCTCCAAAAATTTAAAAATTTTATACACGAAATACTTATGAAATGGAAATATTACAAATGCATCTGTAAAAATACAAAAACCCGTGCATCTAAAAAACTTTATTAACTAGAGATTTCAAACTTTGCGACAGTTATTTATTTTGATATGCGATACCTATGTATCGAAACTAGTGATGTACAGTGAGAGCTTCATGTCGAAAACGCGATTGCCGAAGGTGCCCCAGTCTCCCCTAAGTGGTAATAGTTGATCTGTTGGTAAATCCTTGATTATTTGTGGGCCATTAGCTGTCAATTTTCTTAACTGAAATCCTGCTGATCCCATAGCAGCAATTAGCTCATTTTTTTGTGTCTACCACTTCTTCAATGACCACCAGCAAGAACATCATCATAGTCTAGACCTAAATCCGGGCTATAGTTCATATATAGTTAATTATCGAACCTTACGTTCTAGTTTTTTATTTCGATATCCTCCGCAGGTGAAATGATTACAACAGGGTCTTAGAACCAAACCCAAATGGACCTATATTCATAATGGACCAAATAAACCTATATTCATAATTTTTGGTGGAGAGGTTTGGAACCTATTAAGAACTGAAAATACTAAATGACAGTCAATTCGGTGGAAAAATACGATCAAAAACCCCAAAATACTGAAAATTAGGAGGTACCGTTATATGGGGGCTACCAGAAGGAGTGGACCTATATTCATAATTCTTGTGGAGACATTTAGTACCTAATAAGAACCCAATGTACCAAATTTCAGCGAGTTCGGTTGAAAAACACGCTCAAGAACCCAGAAATACCGAAAATTGGGTGGTACCCTTATTTGGAACTATGCCTAAACGTGGACCGATATATCCCATCTTCGAACTTGAACGTGTGATTACAAAAGACGGACGGACATGTCTAGATCGTCTTAGAATTTTACCCTGACCAAGAATATATAAACTTTATAGGGTCGGAAATGAATATTTCGATGAGTTACAAACGGAATGACAAAATTAATATACCCTCCATACTATGGTGGAGGGTATAAAAGGGGTTATATGGGGCTACCCAAAAAAGAAGGCGAATATTTATAATTATTGGTAGGGAGATTTGTTACCATATACGACTACAATATCAAATTGCAGCGAATTCGGTTGAAAAACGCTCTCAAGAACCTCAAAATACCGAAAATTTGGCTACCTTTATATGGGGACTATCCGAAAAAATTGACCTATATTCATATTTTTTTTTTGGCACCTATTAAGAACCCAAAATACTAAATTACAGTCAATTCGGAGGAAAAATACTATCAAAACCCCCAAAATATTGAAAATTAGGAGGTACCGTTATACGGGTAGTAACGGAAAAAGTGGGCCTATATTTATATTTTTGTGGAGAAATTTAGTACCCAAAGAGAACTTAATGTACCAAAATGCAGGCAAATCGGTTGAAAAACACGTTCAAGAACCCCAAAATACCGAAAATTGGAGGGTACCCATATATGGGAGCTATGCCTAAACGAGTAACGATATATCCCATCTTCGAACTTGACCTGCCTGCAGACAAAAGGCAAACCTACAATACAAAATACATAATTTCAGCACCCTATCTCAATTCTTTCAGTAGATAGCGTGATTACAACAGACGAACGGACATGGCTACTTTATAGGGTCGGAAATTAATATTTCGATGACTTACAAACG